AATAGTATAAAAGTTTTTTGATTACAATTTCCGCTCTCTGTCTGCACTCAATCACTGGGCGCTACTATTAGGGCTTATCGTTTAAATGCCTTTCCCCTCATTATGAGGCTATTTATACCATTCATTCGCTTCCATCGACTTTCTCTCCCTTATCTCACATCTCTTCACACATCCCTTCCCATCCCCAGAGTTACACTGTTTGGCTAAATGACCCATAAATTGATTTAAGAAATATAAAAAAGTTTTTGTTATTCACAGAGATTTAGGGCTGATTTCTGTTCACCAAAAAGCCAGACATGTCGTGAGACAACAGTCTGTTTGTCATTAAATGAATCATAAATTATTTATTAAAAACATTTAATAGTTTTAAATTGTTTTTCATAATTTACTGAATATTGATTTATTGTCTATTTTAACCTCCCGGTGCAGTTGAGACCACATGCAAGGGTTTAGGGCTCAATCGCACTATGGTATACGAGTCGAAAGGCTGTCCACAGGAGCAGGACCTGATGGACGAGTTGTGTCCGATGACAGGCTTTTGGCCCTACTTTTTCTCACTCCAGTACTTCATATTCCTGAAGCTGGTGCTGATGACACTCCTGTACGCCCTCTTTGCCGCCACCGCCTCACGACTGCAGACAGAGACCGACAATATCTGGAAGTTTCAGAGGTATATACTGGTCGTCGATTTCGCCCACCGGCTCCCTCTGCCCGCCCCTCTCAACATATTCTGGTACATCTATTTCGTCCTGAAGTGGACTTACCGTTTGGTTACCTGTTATTTCTGTTGCCGAAAAGGCAGAGACGCCACGGTTTGTCTTATTATACATATATATTATATATATATATCTATAACTCACTCATTGTCTGCCAAATAGGACGGCCGCCGAAACAACGTATTGCTGCCGATGTCTGACGAGTCGGACAAATACTACGGACAGCGACTGTCCGAAGAGGACTACAACTATTGGCGACATTTGGCGCGAGAGTTCGCACTCAAAGAGGAGCTCAAGGAAGAGGATAAGGATATCCCGAAAAGGGAGTGGGAGGCCGTCCAGACCATCACCGAGGAGATCGAGCACGAGAAGAAGGTGTTGAGGCAGTTGAAGGTATGCTCACATCCTTGTGCCCATAACCCCCTAAACATAAGTCGGAAAATTGATTGAAACGTGTATTTATAATAAATAAATCTACTGTTCCGTAGGGAAAGGTAACGGAATTGGAGCGCCTTATGAACCAATCGCACGTCTATTTGGAAAGAATTAAACATTTGGCGACAAAACACTACGGAAACGATACGGGTGTCTCGGGCGGCACCGGTGGCTCACAGAGTTTGGTCCACT